ATCCACAGCCCTGGGGGCTATAACCCTCCCTTAGTCTATCTAAAATTTAAACAAAAAAAAAGTTTTTCCTTTAGTTCTACTTAAAAACTTAATGGAATCTACCTAAAATCAGTCAAACTGACCACACATTTTCAAATTGTCTAGAAATAGCATTTATTTTCCGAGAAATACAAAGAAGAAACAGAAGCTGTTCTTTAAATATTTGCAGGTTCAACATTTTCAAAAACTGTGAATAGATGATGATGATGATAGACGATTAGCTGTGTTTGCAGAATGCAGACGGGGGTAAGGATCGGGTTTATTTACACTGAGACTAATTTTTGGTTAAAAAAACAAAATTCTGTTCCAGTATGTATTCTTAACTCAGAAGCAGGACCGGGACAAGGGGTGGGCAGGAGAGGCAGATGCCTGGGCGCCGAGAGGCTAGGGGGCAAAAAATAGATGCAGGGTGGTACACCCATTCTGTGGCATGTATGAAAGTGTTACTAAACCCACAACAGTAAAATGAGTCTCAAAAATAAAAACTGTGATGCCCTAAACCAGTGGTTTTCAACCTTCCTAGTGCTGCGACCCTTTAATACAGTTCCTCATGTTGTGGTGACCCCCAACCATAAAATTATTTTTGTTGCTACTTCATAACTGTAATTTTGCAATGAGAGGAGTAGTGCCCCATCATTGGTGTCAGTGGGAGGAATAGTGCCCCATCATTGGTGTCAGTGAGAGGAATAGTGCCACATCACTGATGTCAGTGGGAGGAATAGTGCCCCATCATTGGTATCAGTGGGAGGAATAGTGCCCCATCATTGTATCAGTGGGAGGAATAGGGCCCCATCATTGGTATCAGTGGGAGGAAATAGTGCCCCATCATTGGTGTCAGTGGGAGGAATAGTGTCCCATCATTGGTATCAGAGAGGAATAGTGCCCCATCGTTGGTATCAGTGGGAGGAATAGTGCCTCATCGTTGGTGTCAGTGGGAGGAATAGTGCCCCATCATTGGTGTCAGTGGGAGGAATAGTGCCCCATCATTGGTGTCAGTGGGAGGAATAGTGCCCCATTCATTGGTATCAGTGGGATAGTGCCCCATCATTGGGAGTGGGAGGAATAGTGCCCCATCATTGGTATCAGTGGGAGGAATAGTGCCCATCGTTGGTATCAGTGGGAGGAATAGTGCCCCATCAGTTGGTGTCAGTGGAGGAATAGTGCCCCATCATTGGGGGTGGGGGGGGGGGAGGAATAGTGCCCCATCATTGGTGTGCCCCATAGTCAGTGGGGAGGAATAGTGCCCCATCATTGGTGTCAGTGGGGGGAGGAATAGTGCCCCATCATTGGTATCAGTGGGAGGAATAGTGCCCCATCGTTGGTGTCAGTGGGGGGGAGGAATAGTGCCCCATCGTTGGTATCATGGTGTCAGTATCAGTGGGGGGGGAGGAATAGTGCCCCATAGTGTCAGGGAGGGTGCCCATCATTGGTGTCAGTGGGGGGGGGAGGAATAGTCCCCATCATTGGTATCAGTGTGGGGGAATTGTGCCCCATCATTGGTGTCAGGGGGAAATAGTGCCCCATCATTGGTGTCAGTGGGAGGAAATAGTGCCCCATCATTGGTGTCAGTGGGAGGAATAGTGCCCCATCGTTTGGTGTCAGTGGGAGGAATAGTGCCCCATTGTTGGTCAGTGGGAGGAATAGTGCCCCATTGTTGTGTCAGTGGGGAGGTAGTGCCCCATCGTTGGTGTCAGTGGGGGGGGGGGGAAATAGTGCCCCATCATTGATGTCAGTAGTGTGGTGTCAGTGGGAGGAATAGTGCCCCATCGTTGGTGTCAGTGGGGAGGAATAGTGCCCCATCATTGGTATCAGTGGGAGGAATAGTGCCCCATCGATGGTGTCAGTGGGGGGGGGAGGAATAGTGCCCCCATCTAGTGTGGTGTCAGTGGGGGGAGGAATAGTGCCCCATCGTTGGTGTCAGTGGGAGGAATAGTGGGGTGTCAGTGGGGGGGAGGAATAGTGCCCCATCGATGTGTTGGTGTCAGTGGGGGTCAGTGGGGGGAGGAATAGTGCCCCATCATTGGTGTCAGTGGGGGAATAGTGCCCCATCATTGGTGTCAGTGGGAGGAATAGTGCCCCATCGTTGGTATCAGTGGGAGGAATAGTGCCCCATTGTTGGTATCAGTGGGAGGAATAGTGCCCCATCGTTGGTAGTCATCGTTGGTGTCAGGGGGGGGGGAATAGTGCCCCATCATTGATACTAGTGTGGGGAGGAATTGTGCCCATCATTGGTGTCAGTGGGGAGGAATAGTGCCCCATCATTGGTATCAGTGGGAGGAATAGTGCCCCATCATTGGTATCAGTGGGAGGAATAGTGCCCCATCGATGGTGTCAGTGGGGGGGAGGAATAGTGCCCCATCGATGGTGTCAGTGGGGGGGAGGAATAGTGCCCCATCGTTGGTGTCAGTGGGGGGAGGAATAGTTCCCCATTGTTGGTGTCAGTGGGGGTGGGGAGAGGAAATAGTGCCCCATCATTGGTGTCAGTGGGAGGAATAGTGCCCCATCATTGGTATTAGTGACACCAATGATGGGGCACTATTCCTCCCACTGACACCAATGATACTTACCTTGCTGACTCCTGCTCCAGCCTGGGCTCGCTCCCTCCCTCTCCCATCTACAGCCAGCATACCTGGCTGCAGCAGCACCATCTGCAGGCTACAGACACTTACCTGTCAGCTGTCTTCCTTCTCCGGCCGCTCCCTCGCTCGATCTTCTTTGATCTTCGCGCTGCTGCTCGGCTCCTCCTCTCCAAGCTCCACCTCCTCGCCGGTGATTGGCCGCCTGTGTGCCTCTCCTGAGCTACAGTTCCGGCGGCCAATCACTGGCAAGGAGCTGTTGAGTGATCCCGGGGATGTGGCCAGATGACAGGGGCGGCATGTCATCCCGCGCACACATCGTGGTCCAGGGAAATGTGGACGTATCTGCATGTGAGCGGACCCGCCTGGAGACTGATAGAGGAGCGGTGTCTCGGTTCCTAAGACCATCGGAAATATGTGTTTTCAGATGGTCTTAGGAAACCCCTGTGAAAGGGTTGTTTGACCCCCAAAGGGGTCGCAACCCACAGGTTGAGAACCGCTGCCCTAAACCATAAATAGTGGTGAATTATCAACAGCAGGGTTCCAAAAAGGATAATCCCAAATAATTGTATATCATTCTAACCGACTCACTTGTGAGTTACACAAAGTTGTGTCCTCGGAACCAATCATAACATATAAAAGGAAGGAACCAAGGGAAAGAGATCCCAATGGTCAAGGGTCCCAATGAGGACAGACTGCAGTTCAGAAAGATATATGGTACCATGCGGTGAATAGGATAGTGTGGATATTCACTGTATGGTCCCCGCTGATATTCTTTCCATCTGAGGTGCCGGGACTTCTCAGCGTTGGTTGTCACCCTGGATAGCCACGTTGTCTCTAACCTTCATGCATCTTTCTGTTGGTGGTGGTTGGGTCTGAATTAATTCATTTTTGTGTAATTTTTAATTTTATATTTTGCAATAAACGGTTGAATTGTTTTTTCTAAGCCGCAGTTTGTCCTCATTGGGACCTCTTGACCATTGGGATCTCTTTCCCTTTGTTCCTTCCTTTTTATATAGTAAAATGAGTCTAGATGCAGTAAAGCGTGCCTGATACACTCACTGTGGAACCTAAGGGGTTAATACTCTGCATTGTGTAAAAAAGATGTTTGATCCTGTCTTCTCTGATCCTTCCCTTCTTCTACTGTCCCCAAGCCATCTGCTGATAGAACAGAGCCTTGGGGGCAAGCTGCACATTTTCAGTTTGGTGTGTATTGCTGTGAGTTGGTGTGAGGTTTTTTTTCTTTGGGGAGTGCATGTGATCAGCACAGGGCCAATCAGCACTGTCCAGACAGAGGGTCAGGGGTCGTGCAGCCTCATAGGACTATCATGGGGAGACTTCCAGAACAAAAAGTAGAACATGCAGCATTTTTTCTGCACTGAACTGTACTGGAACACAGTAAAACACATGAAAAATGTACCCAAATGCACCCAAACGCACTAAAAACGTACACAAATGCACATCTTACTAAGTTGAAAAAAAAGAGAGAGGGGGAAACAATGAACAAATCCCCTACCATTCAATTTTCCCCTCAAAGCAGAAATCCCCCCCCTTCCAGCACAAATTATCCTCCCCTAATCCCCTATTCCAGCATAAGTCCCCCCAAAGTTCCCCTCCTAGCACAAATACCCCCAATCAGGGGCGGACTGACCATTTGGAAACTCAGGCACTGCCCGAGGGCCCGGGGTCAGTAGGGGGCCCCATGAGATACCCCTGGTACCTTTTTCATAGGCTTTTTTGAGTTTGGGCAAGGACACATGGGCCCCATGATCCCCTATTGCCCGGGGGCCCCATGAGTTGTCAGTCCGCCCTGCCCCCAATCATCCCTACTAGTACAAATCCCCACCCCCCAAAAAAATTTCCCCTCTTAGTACAAATCCTCTTCCCCCCCTCCCAACATAAATCCCCCCAAACCACCCCTCCTGGCACACCTCACCAAATTTCCCCTCCTAGAACAATTCTTACTCGCTGCTGCCCCCCAAAAAATTCCACTCCCAACACAAATCCCAATCTCCTCATGCCCCCCCCCCCACCAAACATAATACCACAGTACCCAGGGCAGCCGCCCCTCTGCCCAGCCTTGTCCTGGCCCTGCTGGGCGGTGACATCACCCATAGAAGTGCAATGGGGCATCCATTGTTGGCTGTCCTTCCTCTACACTGAAGCTGGCGCTGGGACCTGGTCATGTGACCGTATTGGAGCGACTTCTGAATAGGTCTATACAGGCATCTTTCCTTCTACAGGGTAGATAGAATAGGCTTAGAATGGGGGTAGGAGTTTTGACTTGCCTTCTACTTTAAAAAGTATCTAAATACTAAGATCTATAATCTTTCCTTTCTGAACAAATAATCAACATTAAATGTTTGTCTTTCAGGGCTGGTTAACATGGAAACTTCGACTTTACAGTCCTTCTCCCCAGACCCCTTGGCCTTACAGGCTGAGGAGGAAGAAGAGGAATATTTGACAGGGGAGGACATACCCTTGGAACTTGATAAAACACTCCGTTACCTGTCCATCATTATATACAGCATAGCTTTTCTCCTGGGAACCACTGGAAATGGCTTGGTGATATGGATTGCTGGGTTTAAGATGAAGAGAACAGTCAATACAGTCTGGTTTTTGAATCTTGCAATCGCTGACTTCATTTTTACGTTTTTTTTGCCCTTGAGCATCACCTACACAGCTCTGGGTTTCAACTGGCCATTTGGAACTCTACTGTGCAAGCTGAACAGCACCATCGCTTTCCTGAATTTGTTTGCGAGTGTCTTCCTGCTTACTGTTATCAGTGCTGACCGTTGTGTCTCCGTGGTCAGACCCGTATGGGCCCAAAACCATAGGACTCCAAGACTGGCTTCCGCTATCGCCCTCTCTGTTTGGCTGGCAGCTTTAATCCTTTGTTCTCCCTACTTGGCCTTTCGGGACACCATACGGGACAATGACAACAATGTCACACATTGCTACAATAACTACGCCTTCTCCACCGACTTTGATGACTTGGAGGTAGTAGCCTTGAGGAACATGAGACACCAAGTAATGATATCTGTAAGGTTTCTTTTTGGGTTCTTGCTCCCCTTTGGACTTATCTTAGTTTTCTATTCTTTGATGGCTTTGAAGTTGAGAAGAAGCCTTCTTTCGTGGTCCAGCCGGCCATTCAAAGTCATGGCATCTGTTGTGGTTGCTTTCTTCCTCTGCTGGTTCCCATATCACATCCTCTCTGTACTGGAAGTTGTTATGCACCACTGGGACAATAAAGGGCTAAAATCAGCTGTTCTTATTGGAAGTCCCTTAGCTACCAGTCTGGCTTTCTTTAACAGCTGCTTAAACCCTTCCTCTATGTCTTCCTGGGCAGGGATTTTAAAGAGTCCTTGAGAAGATCCATCCTTTCAGCTTTTGAAACTGCATTTAGTGAAGAGCAAGGAAAACACGCCTACAGTCTAGGAACTCCCCGGTCTCTTTCTGACCAAGAGTCTCAATTTACCTGACTGAGCCTGGATGAACATGGTACGAGATTAGTCTCATGACAGATTATTTTCACTTCAGGAGCTCTATTTTTTGGGTAATCTAGAAGCAAGACCTTCTAACGGTTCTATAATTGTGGAGATCTTATCTAATTATTGAAGATCAGTAATTCTTCAGAATGTGGTTGACTTTCCACTCTTCACTTTTGAGGTTGTATACAAGATCTTTACTCAGATACAAGCTATAAAAAACTATGTTTTTTTAAGAGCTAAAGAAAGTTGGAACCTTCTGGAATATTAGTATTTTATTCTATGTAAGCTGTATAAAAGTGCTTTCAGCTAGTTGGATGCAAGTAACTGTTTACTTGGAAAATTAGTCTTCTCATTGATGTGTGTGAACCAAGTTGTACAAACTCTGTCCAAACCTGTCATTTGGGGCCTTCTCTGCCAACTGTCATCTCCACCTTTCTATGATTGTTTGTTTTGTGGTCATGGCATTGTTATAAATCAAAATGTACTGGTGACTCATGGTACGCAAAAGTGCTTCCACCAGCAAAACCTACTTTGGATTTGCTGCCACAATAACTATGCCTTCTTGATTGACTTTGAAAATTTGGATTTGGTAGCGATAATGTCCATGAGACACCAAATAATGTTATCTGTACAGTATATTTGAGATCTCTAAGCCCTGTGTTTAAGAAAGCACCAGATGCAACATTACGTGCTGAATTCAGCATTCCAGTTGGTTTAGACCAGGATTCCATGGAACCTATTGGTTCCTCCAAAAGGTTACTAGGGGTTCCCTGAGCAAATGAACAATTTCTGCCTCTCAGATAAGTTACCACTGACACCATTGATCTTTTAGCTATCCGTAAGGGGGTTGATCTTCTCAATAACCACTGGTGTAAGAAGCATTCTTCCAACTGACCATCACACTAATGTATCATGAGTTGCAGATATAGTAGTTTTGGCAGAGTTTCTCTGAGACCAGAAAGTTATTTCAAGGGTTCAAGTGTTGAAAAGGTCAGTAAAAGGCCGGTCTAGGCCTTTGGACAATAAAACTCAAGATGTACTGTAAATATTCAGTTGTGACTTGCATGGCAGTGGTGCCAGAAAATAGGCAATGGTGAGCCAACCAGAAAGCTGGACTGCTTGTATTGTATTTATTCTACTGAAGAGCAAAGTTAAACTTTCACCTTACAAACCATACAGCACGACTGAGAAGTAAAATCAGCTATCTGCCACCTTCTATGCCATAAATTCAACTCGGTTTATGTTCAAAGTGGAAACCCAGCAAAAAAAAAGCGTTTTCAGGATCTTAATTTTATACATCACATAAATGTCCTTTACTTTTTATGAGAAAACTGCAATGCTTCTGGATCTTGTTTGTTTAATTGCTTTTTTGGGGCTTTGTAAGATTTTAACTTCAAGAACGCATACAAAGCTGCAGCTCCCTATAAGTTTTCATAAGTTTGCAAAGTGTTCTTAATGTGAACCTATTCTGCACAAGCAGTAACAACACTATAAAACAAGCCCTTGGTCACCTCTGCAGCTATAAGCATTCTGGAGAAATTAATCTTTAAAATTCATAACAGATGCACTGAAATCTTCCTCTTTACTTTCTATTCCAGCAGAATTTAGTTTGTAAGCTATTAGAAAGAAAACTGAGACCTGACTTTAGAGTGTCTGCTGTGATCTTTGAGGATGAATTACTTCACCCTTACGTGCAGCTCGAGAGGTGGGTAGGGGGTGGGACAATGGGACATGCTTGGAGGTGGGTAGGGGTGGAACCATGGGGCAGGGGCCAGTGGTGGGTAGGGGGTGGAACCATGGGACAGTGCTCAGAGGTGGGTAGTGAGTGGAACCATGGGACAGTGCTCGGATTGTGGGTAGGGGGTGAAAACCATGGGACAGTGCTCGAAGGTGGGTAGGGGGTGGAACCATGGGGCAGGGCTCAGTGGTGGGTAGGGGGTGGAACCATGGGACAGTGCTTGGAGGTGGGTAGGGGGTGGAACCATGGGACAGTGCTCGGAGGTGGGTAGGGGGTGAAACCATGGGACAGTGCTTGGAGGTGGGTAGGGGGTGGAACCATGGGGCAGGGCTCAGTGGGTGGGTAGGGGGTGGAACCATGGGACAGAGCTTAGTAAATGAGCAGAAGCTCTGCTGACTTCTATCATCCAATCATGTGCAAGCAAAAATGCTGGTTTTTTTTTCAATTTTCCTTTCATGTGATTGGGTATTTTTGGCAAAGGGAAGCTTTACCTCAGTTACTAAGCTCTGGGGCACCTGCACTTGCAGAGTGCACAGTCTATTTGCCTTTAGTAAATCAACCCCAATGGATGGCTTCCATTTATGCCATTCATTGTGTACTATTGTGTTGATCTCTGTGATTGGTCACAGTGATCCCATTGTACAGGCAAAGCCAATAACAGCCCATTTGTTCTTCCCATGTGATTAGCTGTGGCCAATCACAGCTAACCACAATAGTACAAATTGAATGAATTGATTGTATTCAGAAAAATAGTTGCTTATAACAATAATTTTCATTGTTAAAAGTGATCATAGTGTGTAAAAAAAAAAAAAAGAGCCAATCACAGCCCATTTATTCCATGTGATTAGCTGTGGCCAATCACAGCTAATCACAATAGTACAAATTGAATGAATCGATTGTATTCAGAAAAAATAGTTGCTTATAACAATGATTTTCATTGTTAAAAGTGATCATAGTGTGTAAAAAAAAAAAAATCCTGATCACCTCCACAGATTAGTACAGTAGGCAAAAAAATTGTAAAAAAAAAAGAAAAAAAGAAATTATAAGAAAAAAGAAAAAACATTTTAAAAGTTGAAATTTTTTTTTTTTTTTATCAGTGTCCCTAATCACCAGCACACCAGTTATATGAGGATATACTGTACTGGTGAAAGTATGTTAAAAAAAAATTGTGAAAATATTTTAAAAAATGTCTTCATTTTCCAAAATTTTGTGACAAACAAAATACAACTTAAAAAAACTCACCATGCCTGTTACTAAATACCTTGGACTGTTTTTACTTTCCAAAAAAGGGGTCATTTAGGGGGTATTTGTTCTGTCTGGTATTTTCGGGCTTTAGAAAATTAGATCGGCCAACAGTACATTAGAATTGATCGATCTTCAGATATATACCATAGTTTGTGGACTCTATAACATTTCTACAGACTAAATAATATACACTGATTTGTGTTATTTTTACCAAAGAAATGTAACAGAATAAATTTTGGCCTAAATTTATGCAGAAAAATTATTTATTTGCAAATGCTTAAAAAAAAGAAACAAAGAAAAACATGTTTTTTTTTCTAATTTTTCAGTCTTTTTTCATTTATTTAGCATTGGATGAAAAACCCAGTGGTGATTAAATACCACCAAAAGAAATCCCTATTTGTGTGAAAAAATAATAAAACAATTCATACGGGTTTCATGTTGCATGACCGAGCAATTGTCATTCAAAGTGAAAATGCTGAAAACTGAAAATTGGCCTGGGCAGGAAGGGGGTGAAAATGCCCGGTATTGAGCTGGAGTGAATGTGAATGCAGTTGCTATGTGCCTGGCTGCCTCTGCACTGTGTTGGGAATAAACCTGTTAATCTACAGCGGCTCCTTCAGGGGTAGTGCTACACATAATTTCAAGGCCAATGGCACTCAAAACGACCAACTGCATATCACCAATGAGTTTTCTTATCTGTCTGTAAGGGTGGAATTCTGACCACGACTATAGGGGGGCATTCTTCCACTAGCCACCAACATCCATTATTCCCTCCTGGCTTTAGCAGGGGTTCCCTAAGACCTGAAAAATCATTTCAAGGGTTCCACTGGAGTAAAAAGGTTGGAGAAGGCTGTTTTACAGTTGTGGCCAAAATTATTCAACCCCCACTGAAATTGAGTGTTTTGGCCAGTTTGACATTGCTTTTGATCATTCAGTCATCTTGCTTACATTTACATTAAAGAGGCACTTGTAGGTCAGACAAATATAACATAACAGTTATAATGAAATAACCACAAATGTCTTTTCTGTGCTCACAGCATTATCAGTTTTATTCAACCCCAAGTGACATTCAATCTTAGTACTTAGTACAGCATCCTTTTACAGTTATAACAGCTTTTTAAAAAACGTGAAGCATAGCTTGACACAAGTGTCTTGCAGCGATCTACGGGTATCTTCGCCCATTTTCATGGGCAAAGGCCTCCAGTTCAGTCACATTCTTAGGCTTGCGCACTGCAACTGCTTTCTTTAAGTCCCACCAGAGGTTCTCAATCGGATTTAAGTCTGGTGACTGACTGCGATGGCCACTCCAAAATGTTCCAGCCTTTCCTCTGCAACCATGCTCTAGTGGACTTGGAGGTATGCTTGGGATCATTGTCCTGTTGAAAAGGTCCAACGTCTCCCAAGCCTCAGGTGTGTGACGGACTGCATCACGTTTCCATCCAATATCTCCTGGTACTGAAGAGAATTCATGGTACCTTGCACACGCTGAAGCTTCCCTGTACCTGCAGAAGCAAAACAGCCCCAAAGCATGATTGACCCTCCACCATGCTTCACAGTAGGCAAGGTGTTCTTTTCATCATAGGCCTTGTTCTTCCTCCTCCAAACATAGCGTTGATCCATGGGCCCAAACAGTTCTAATTTTGTTTCATCATCCACAGAACACTATCCCACAACTTTTGTGGTTTGTCCACATGGCTTTTGGCATACTGCAGTCGACTCTTCTTATTCTTTGGAGACAGCAAGGGGGTACGCCTGGAGTTCTGGCACGGAGGCCTTCATTACGCAGTGTGCGTCTTATTGTCTGGGCTGAAACTTCTGTACCCACATCTGACAAATCTTTTCTCAGTTCCTCAGCAGTCACACGGGGACTTCTCTCCACTCTACGCTTCAGGTAG